TCTTCATCTCACAGAAGTATACTGGTGCCCTGGATTTCACCATGGCCAGTATCATAAATCTCCCTGATGAGATTCTTGTGAGCATCTTCAGTTATTTCTCTCCCGCAGAACTGATCTCCAGCATTGAGAAGGTATGTCATCGCTGGAAGGAACTTGCATTTGAAAGGTCACTGTATTCACACATCATCTTGAACAAGGATGATCCATTGGAAGTAATTCAGGAAGTGCTAATGAGATCTAGTGGTCGCATGAAATCTCTTAACCTCCATCATTACACCAATACAAGGCAGTTATCTACTCTAATGCCCAGGCTGGACTGCCAAGGTCTGAAGTCATTGACCATGACTTTTCCAGCCTCTCAGAGTGTGAGCAATGCAAACCTGGACCTTCTGCTCTCCTTTGCTCCAAACCTTGAAGAGCTTAATCTCAATTCTTCAGAGTTCATAGAAGATACTCCTCTCTTCGTCATCAAACTCCAACATCTCAGACGTTTTAGTGTCACCTTTGGTCTCTTGCTTGTTGAGCAATTCATCATTCCTCTTGTTGAAAATGCTCCCAACTTGACACACATCTGCATTCCAAACATGGTTCTGAATGAAAGATGCTTCCAGAAGCTCATTGAAATCCGTGGACCTAGGCTGGAATCCCTGTACATGAATGCAGAGCAACTGTATCGCCAACAATGTTATCAATTGTTGGAAGGCCTTACCTGCATGCAAAAGTTCAGCATTGACTCCTGCTTCCACCTAAAAGACAGAGGTCTGTCTGAAATCAAACACATGAAAAATCTTACAGCACTCAGGTTGACAACTCTAATCTCAGTCACATCTGCCAGCCTTGCTTCTATCTTCCAGGATAAGAACTTCCCTCAGCTGCAAGAGCTTGAGCTTGCCTTTGTCCCAGGTGCAAGAGGCATACTAGATCCTGACATGGAAAACATTGCCAAGAATTGCCCAAAATTAAGAAGTTGCTCAATAGGTTTTGCTTGCCTGGTGACAGACCAATGTGTGTCATCAATTTTGGCTCATTGTAGCAATTTGAGATTATTGTCTTTAATTGGCCTTGTCAGAGTGACTGGTACTTTTACCAATGACTCGATGAAACAGATTAGACACTTGCAATATCTAAATGTTGAAGAAACTTCTATAACCATGGACATCGTAAAATATTTAAAAGAGGAAAATTCTTCTCTGGACATAAAACACAGCTTCTCCAAGTAATATCAGCTGCTGAAACCATATGAGTTGATGATAGAAAGCAAATCAGTTGTCTACTACTTGTGCAATCAAGAGCTGCGATGATCTGTTATAATTGAACTTGGTGATTAGATAGGAAGAATCTTCAATGCAGTGCATCAAGGACTGATTCTCTATTTTTTTCAGACTGCAAAATAAAAGCAAGCATCAATATTGCTTTCCCACAGGTTCCTCCTCTGAATAGTGCAGTGCAAGGCATAGTATGTTTACTTAACCAGGCAAGAGGACCTCTCCTGATGAGATGGCATAGGTATGTCTTGAATAACAAGACCAATTTCTGGAATAAATCAATGATTTATTCTCATTGATGGGATTTCAAAATAGCACAGAGGTGTCAAGAGAGAAAATGTTTGATTTTGATCATATGGCTGGTAAAATCACAGATGGCATTCTTGGTATGGAATGCTCATGTTTGAATGTTTTAAGGCCATAGAACCAGAATACCTGTTCTACTTCTTTTCTTCAATAGTTCTATGGCAGAACACATAAAATATGCAGTCTGCAAACCAAAAAAAACACTGCAACACAAAACTAAAAGACTTCATTTGACACTGCATTTTGCACCAAAAGGTCCATACTGTGCTCCAAAACAGGAAAATTCTTTAGCTTAGCAAGAGAACAGTAGAGATAGGCATAGAAAAAATGGACTCTGATTCAAGCTGAAAAAAAAGGGGGAGTGAAGTCAAATTAGGGTCTCAGGGAACAAGCATGAAGCAAGAACAAAAGAATGGATTTTGTACTGAAGACCTTCCAAGTCCATGATGACCAACCCTGAATGCCCACAATAGCCTCCCAATGAGAGCAATCACAACTTGTCATGGTAACTGGCAACTGACTAACAGACTCTAAATTCCATCACAGACTTATTTCCACCCGTTCTCGATCCAGGACCTCTGTCGTGAGACACTGATCCCTATCTCAAAATCACATCCAATTCAAGTTGGAATTTAAAAAAAGTGGTAGGAAGGCACAGTCAAAAGAGACATGGCACATAAGCTAAGAGGCAGTCACACTAAGGAGCAGAGTTTTATGCAAATTCATGATATTTTTGCAGTCTAGTAGGGCAAACTACCAAGATAGAAGCATATAATAAATGTGAAAGCAGTTATAAAAATATAGTTTATTTTTTATTTTTATGACTCCACAAAAATGTGTCTTCCAACATACTGCACCTGTTTGTTGTGGAAGAATCAAAAGCAAAGAGTGTTATCAATTTCCTGAGAAATATGTGCTGCTTTATGAAGGTGAAATGAAGAGGAAACTTTCCACCATCAGAATAACTACACTCACCTGAATGGTGTCTCAAATATTACAAACCCTCACTTTCCTACAATGAATCCAGGACTGAAAGTGCATACTTCTGCATAAAATTCATTTTTGCATTGATTTATGTTCACATTTCAGGATTTTTTTATGCATAAAAATCTGCTCCCTACTCATAACAGCTCACTTTTTAGCATTTTGATTGGGGAAGCCCTCATCAATGTGACTAATAGGCAGGACTTAATTCAATCACCTTTTTGAGCTAGAGGTTCCAATGACTGAAAACTTTCAATTTGCTGTTAGTTACACAAGTCTCCTGCTAAATTTACCACCACATGAGATGAGAAAGTTGTGAACTCCTTGGCTCCTTAGCTCATTTACCTCCTTTTATAGGCATATGATTCTGCTTGAATATCACAGAATATCTATCATATATAGAAATCAACTACTTTATATCCAACCCAATGACATGTCACTGTGCCATTGAAGTAAATGCCTACATGTAATTCTTCCTTTCACTGTAAAATCCTTCTTGTTATGGGATGGATGGGAAGGGAACAATGGAAAGTCGACTCTTACTATTAAAAAAAAATCCATTGAAGAAGTGGCACCCAGGTGGATCTCTCTCCAGACTATTATGCACAGATGTGTCTGGAATGGCAACACCTTTTTTTCCTTCTCATAAGGGCAAATGTCCAGTGACCACCACCATACTGACTGAGATTGAGATTATGAATAAACAGACTTCTCTTAATTTTAAATTCATGGCCAGTTGGTTCTTGGTTCAGTTTATGGGATTTTATGCACTGAGGAACTGGAATTGGGAAAATTTTCACAATTTCATATTTCAGTGTAATGTGCATTGCAGACAAATGACATGGATTGGGGTATGAAAATTAAGTGGAAATCAATGCAAAGGTCTGTCATGCTTGCCACAACTGTGATGTTCAGGGAAAATTTTTCCACTTGTAGGTCAGTACTAAATGCAAGGTCACATGCAAATTGAAATTTTCCTTACATTTACATATCTCAACTCAACAAAAGTGAATTGCGACATAGGAACTGAGCAGATTCCAGTCCGTGATTTCCCACTTATTCCACCACATGTTATCTTCCAATCAGGCTAAATGATGCGAAGCAAGACCTAAGCACCAAGGTATGGTTCTTGACCTAAAGATCAGTACGTGCCACTCCAGAGACATCTATGATTGGTCTTCCATGCATCCACCTCATGCTCCAATCTGACTATACCTCTTCAGATACATAAAGATGGAAGCCTTTGAACAAATTACATCACTCAAGTTTCTCAGCTTGACACAATGACCCTACTTCTATCCTGGTAGACTACTATCAGGTACCTCATGCTGTGTTGTACTGACTGAGGGAGTTCACAAGTTAGCGTCCACTGATGCCCTTGATATTGAGCATTTTTATACAATGTATCTGCAGTATGGGAGGAATTAGGCCAAATCTCATCACAAATAATATAAAGGCCAAAAAGCAAGCATATAGGCCTAAGCAATAAAGGAAAAGCCTCACATCAGGCAATCATACATCACATGCTTATTCATTTAAGGCACTTTCACTTACTAGCTTGAAGTCACTAAAGTACGAATCATAATTTCAAGTGGCAACTAATTTCTCCTTGGTAATGGGGTGGATCTAACCACGTAATTCAATCTGTATTCCCATATAAAATTACCAGGTTTTTAGCCATATCTTGAAAATGAATTAGTGACTTTCTTAGCTCCTCTGAATGAAGATTCCTGCAAAATATTAGGCTTATATTTTGTGGTTGTGGAAGTGAAAAGAATTTTGGCAATCATAACTTTGTACATAAACTTTGTGAATCACCAGATCAGTATCTATTCTCGATTACCAATTAAGAAAGATCAATCTAGTGCACTTCTTACCCATGAATCATTTCTGTTTCTAAAAAGCAATCCATTTATCAATGCCCATTTCAGTGAAAAATGCCACTAATGGCAAGTGAAGCCTCCCTCCCATAGGAAGATTGTCAAAAGCTTCACACTTTAGTTTTGCTTGAAGTACTCTTTTGCATGAGCACAGAGTACCTGATGGCTCAGAAGAATTTTCAGTTGCAGGGAAAGACTGCAAAGAAAATGAAATATGGCAATCCAAAATTCCAGATAGAGGGCAAGGCTTACTGATGCATGCCTATCCTCTGAGATAATGCGTTTGAGATAAGCTCCATTCAAGGATAAAGCAGAAAAAGCACCAGATAATGCATGTGATCTGCTTCGGCTGTGCGCAAATGACTGTAGCCAGAGGATGCATCCACATTTGAAAAAAAAAAAAAACCACAATGAACTTCAACCATTCAGGATTTGCGCATAAGTCAGTCTCACTCAACAATATGTAGTTCAACTACCTTTGGATTGTCATGCAAATGTGAATGCACCTTATGTTTAGAGCTACACTTGAACAGCAATGTGGACACCAACAACATTATGCTTCTTAGGTTGTGCTCTTGGCCAAATTGTGAGTGTACCAATTGACAAGAACCTTCCAAGAATTGTTGAGAGCTTCAGAAAACTTTGTCCTGAAGTGCTGCAATGCATCCTGATGAGACAAGTGAAGAACAAGAGTGTCCTTCAGGTATTCCAGATCCTTTGGCGATGTCAGTTCAGGAAGCCCCAGTGGCAGCATCAATGAAAATAGGGACAAGAGGAGGTTCCCATGACACCTTAGCACCATGTATGCCTAAAAAAAAAGTAACCCACATATGCAAAAAAATGTATTGCTCATCTGCCAAGTGTAACTGTAAGTCAGGAGAAGGAAAGAAGGCAAAAAGAAGCAAAGGATGACACTCAAATGGGAAGAATGAACATCCTTTCCCAGCCTCCTCCTTCCAGTTGGAGATTTTCCTCCTTACTAGAAGTTATTGTGGATATTTCTACTGACTAAAAAGTTTCCATGAATTGATCATAAATTGGGACTTCTAGATTCTGTTATAAAATTCCTCAGGTCAGGAAGGCATGGAGAAAAAAATGAATGGACTATCATCATCCTTAAATTGTGGAATGGCTGCACTCACTTTTTCACAGAGAGTCTGAAATGCCTGGAATTCTTGTGAGGTGCGACCAGAACCTCTTCCAACAACATAAACAAAGTCCTTCGTCAAAACAAAAGGAACTCGTTCCCTTCGGATCCCAAACTTTTCTTTGAAATGTCCAAGGATGTGACCAAAGTCGATGTGGAATAGCTGGCCATTGGAGCGCAGCATGATATTGTCTGAGTGGCGATCAGCAATGCCAAGAACATAAGTGGCCACACTGTAACCAGCACATGAGAGCGTGAACTCTTGGATGGCAGTCTCAAGGTCTTCTTCTCTTGGGTTATGATCTCGCAGCCAGGAGAGGAGAGCTGCTTTACTGAATGCAGACCGCACTGGTGCCTTTTCCTTCTGGATGTTGGCAAGTGTTTCAGATTGTGGCACAACTTCAATGAAACCCAATCGGAAGTCCATTCCCAGGCATGAGTAAGGGCTCAGCCTACAGATAAAATGGTCAACATACAACTACCTTAATTGAGCTCACACTAACTAGTAAAACAGGAACAATATGAAATGCCTTTCCTTGCAAACGGTCATAAAAACAAGATGCTAAAGAGATGCAGACTACAGTGGCACTAAAAAACAATGATGTGGAAGCAATTCCATATCATTTATGCATACTGGGCTTATTTCATTCTAATAGTCAATTCAACTTAATTGTTGATTTCTCCTATGTTCAACTGATGCATGGAGTATGCAATTGAGACAATACAATCCAACAAGAGAATTTGCTAAGGCCACCAACTCAAAAAGCCACCTGAGGTCAAGGCCAGCATGCTTCCAAAGACGATCCATTAGTCGAAGGGCATGAATGGTGAGCATGTCTTGTCTCAAATCGTCACCATTCTTGAAGATGAGCTGAATGGGAGGTGCCCCCATGTCAGATGTGGACCAAACCAGCCATAGAGGTCGGTTCTTTGAATTCATCACCTTGCATTTTTGGACAAGGAGCTTCTCACACCTGGCACTTGGTTCAAGGGGGTTCAGGAAGGAAGACAGCCTTGACAAGCAGGATCCCTGGGATAGGATATCTTGCAGAAGGAAACGTAGCTTCTCACGTGGTTCTTTGCAAGAGCAGAACTGGAGATTCACTCGCTGACATTCTGTCACAGCATTTGCCTGGAGAAATCCACACAATTTTTCCAGAATAGTTCATTTTGTTTCATAAAGAGGGACATAAAGTAACGATTGGCACATGTCATTCCTGGAGATATACTTACAAGACCTGAGAGATCATTCATGTGATCTGCACTTCCTCGACAATATACTTCCAAGTACAAGCCAAAAACTATCTTCAAGTGGGGATTCCCCATCTCTGACCTGTATAAAAAAAAAACAAAAAGAGAAATCCTCTTCAAAGTGGCAGCATGGACTTGCAGCTTTAGCCTTCTCAAACTCAAGGAAAATAAAAGCCCCAGGATTTGGCATGTACATATACCACTCAGATCTGAAAAGGTTAGTTTCATACATTGGCCCACCCTACCAGATATATGAGGACAGAAATGCAATCCATCAAAACTTGGCCAAGAGCTTAATTATTTTGGGAATTGGGGATTGTCTGGGGACGTTGTCCCCAGACAAGGTCACAATTCCTAAAATTGCATCTTATTCCTCTGAATGCCATGGAATTCTTTCCCTTTGGGAATCTTATTTGCTCCTTGGCTCAAGAGAATTTAACCTGAGATCAAACTTCCTCCATTGACTACAATAATAAGGGTTTTGATTTGAGCATGTTAGCATCATTGTGTGGGAGAGTGTCATTGACAGAAAAGAAAAACCAAAGTTGACACTAATACTGAAAAAAGAAAGTGAAGCAGGACAATATTATCAAGACAACCAATAGGCTCTTCAGCATACCAAGACAAAACTGCAAGTAAATAGCTTTGCAGTTGAATGGACAGCAACAAAGGATAAAAAAAAAAAGGCCTACCTATGCCTAGTTACCAACCTGAGAAGCCAGAAGAAGAAGTGACCAATTCGTTTGTTTTTCAGTGCTCGGTCAAGAAGGAAGTCAGCCAGGGAATTGTGGAGGTACAACTCCTGTCTCAAGGAGCAGATCAAATGTAACAGATACAAGAACAGCTCCTCATCACTAGGGCAGCAATGGAAAATGCAGTGATCACTTTCCCATATGGCAAAGAGCTAGGCTGATGTGAAGAAGCAGTAAATTCTACCTGAGAGATTTGAGACAGTCAACAGCATATTCCCTGATGCGAGGCTCCAAGAAATAGCCTGAGAAGAGCTCCAAGGCTGATTCAGCTGGAATCAATGGCCATTCCTGGAGTAATGTCAGCATTTCACAGACCTGGTTCATCACAATCAATACAACCAAATCAAAAATTAAACCTCAAATGAGGAAAGCAATGAATAGTCAAAAGCTCCTATAGTCTGACTGACAAAGTTAAGTAACAGGATGAACAAACCTCCCATCGATTAGTCCATTCAACAGAACGTAATAATTTGGGGAGAGCATCAGGTAGCTTCTCTTTGAGAAGCTGGCGAGAGATCCATAAATCATCTTTGTCTTGTGTATGTAGATCCCCGTCAATTGCTGGACTACTCTGGATGATTGCCCTTACCCGCTCCAGCACATCATTCTCATCTTTCACATCCTAGGGCAAACAATAATGATGCAAAAAAAACAACTGACAGTCAAATCAGCAATTTCAACTGACACATCCTTCAGAAAGGATACACCTTCACATTTTATTCCCAGAAGTACAATTCATACAGCTCTCACCTCTTACAATGACAGCAAGCTCAGAGTGCTTAGTAAAAAATATAGATATTTCTCATAACCAAACCAACTGCTGATAGAATCCATTATGTAACTATTTTCCATTCTCCCTTTCACATCAGCGATCTGAAAATGGGGAGGAGGCAACCAATTTTTTCTTGATGGTTGACTCCATAACAAAGTGGTACTCACACCTTATACCATGTCAATACACATTTTTTGGAGCATAAGATGGGATGAAAACAACTACCTTGCATTTCAGAACACAAGCATTCATTACCAGAAATAGGTCACCTGTTATAATGAATAAAAACTTCCTAAGCTAATATACCAATGTAACACATTTCACTTTCATCACATCAGAAACATATGCAGAGAACAACGGGAAAGGCTCTCATTGCCAATTGTGCAAAATATGCCACTTAAAGAGGATTTTTCTGCAGACTATTAACTTTCCTGCACAATTCCATTCCAATACAAATATATATCAGATATACTGCTGTATATTAAGCTTCATAGGTAAAATAGTGCCAACTCTGTGTAAACCTTTGGATAGATTATGTTTTACAGATGAATTATGTATGTACCAGGTTTGGCAAATACCCAATCTATTATCATTTCGAACCCTGAATCAAAAATATTATCTTGTGTGCATTTATTTCTCTCTTCTCTCCCTTCACCCAACAAAGGGAAAACCTAAGACAATCATCTAAAAGATAAATTGAATAATTCCTGTCCAGTGGGTCTTTGACCACCATGTTTCATGGCTCATTGATTACTGACACATACCAACAGGCCCTAGATGTACCTTTCATTGTGGACACATTGTCTTGTGCCAACTTATGGCATGTATTTACCTGCCTATCGTGTATTCATGGCACTCTAACTCCAAACTTGCGAAACAATATTCACAAGGAGAACTCACCAGAATGCAATCCCGATTTAAGGGAGCCCCATTTGTCCTGGAAGGACTATCCATCTCCTGCTTCCCTTCCATGAAGATTTTATCTAATGGTGGGTACTGAATCCCTCTGTCAGGATCATATCTGGGTTAAATGCAAACATGACAGGATAAGGAATACAAGAAAGTAGAATGTTCAATACTGATACTCAATCATGAAAGATATCACAAAACTTCAAATTCCCCTCTCAAAGAACATAATTACAATTTCATCAGCTATAAAGCTGAATGTGAACAACTATCTCAAAACCCTTTGGATCCAATCTATTCAATCACAGGTTGCCATCAATCAAAAGGAGTAAGCTCTGATCAGTAAACTACTTCAAAAAAGAAGAGGCCACAAATAGTTCCATCCTGTATGCATGTCTCCACTTTAAGATGCTTGATACATTTGGAAAGAGATCTTTGGCAGGTGAGAATTCTCTTCAGGCAAACACATAGCAAATGCATATCATACAAATATGTATGGTAGGCATGAAAAAAAATCTCTCATTTGGTTTCAGGGTCCATCTTTGCTCTCCAAGTTGTATACCTTAGTTCCACAGTCTTTTTCCATGCCATGATGAAAGTTGCATGTGCTCTAAAACAGGAGACATTTGTAGTGATAGAGGTGATAAGGAGAGGTGTGACTGAATGTTATGGGTACAGTGGTGTAGTAGTAGCACATCTGACTGGCAATTAGGAAACCCAGGTTTGATTCCCAGCCACTCCCTGGTGTTCTTTTGTCCTCACATGCCATCCAATTCTTTCCTCTACAGATCACTGACATTACAAATTCCTCATGCCTACAAGGACATGAGATAACAACCAGATTGGGAGATGTCCAGACCATTCAGAGGCATACTTTTCTTAGTCAGATTCAAAAAGATAAAAGAAAAAAAATCCAAAAAAAATTGGATTTATCCTTAGGCCTCTGTGGCAGACCTTATGAAACTCAGTCATACTTCAACAAAAATCTAAGCATGAGCATTGATTCAAAGGACTCACTTAGCAAAGGACATAGTAAGCACGGGTAGGTTCTCCACATTGGGATTGAGGAAGTTAGTCCCAGAAGGGCAGAGAAGTCCATCCCGAGGAACATCGAGTGAATAGGGCCATAAGGGCAGTGACGCTACCCCCTTTTTCAACATCCCTCGGAAATCAAAGATCGGCGTGTTCACCCACCCAATTGGCAGCACCTGAGTTCGGGGTAACTACCAAAAGGACAAATGTTGACTTTCTATCAAAAGGCAGATGACTGTCAATATGGAAATATGCTCACAGAGTCAGAGGAGTATAGGGACGAATCAGAGATGTTGGAGCGGGATTTCAGTTTCTGTAGTTCATAGACAGCAAGGCAGAGGGTGGCCATTCGTGGGAGATCAGAAACTTTAATGCAAAAACATATTTCTTCTTCCCATTTCACCTCATCTGGGCTCGAAGAAGTGCTGAGGGCTTTTTCCTGTTCACACAAGCTTTCACCTGCATGGTACACCCCTCCAGTTGCTCCCACCTGTTGGTCATACAGAAAAAGTTCCTTAGACCTATTACAAATTCCAAACTGGGTTCATCCAGTGACTCAGGAGATCCCTGATCTCTGATCCCAGATCCCTGAGTGACTTTCTTCCCATGTGAACATGTTTGCATGAAGGAAAAATTAATGCATCCAACTCTTCAACTCAAATCATGTATTTCTGTAATATTTTCTTTTTTGCATTGCTAGGCAATCACATTCTTTCTTTTCTGCTCCTCATCCTGAATGATTGTACATATGCACATCTAAAATCATTTACTCTCAGACCAAGAGTTATGTCAGAGTACTACAGTTACATTCACACCAGCTAACTGCAGAGGGTTACCAGAACAATTTATTTCCAAGTCCATGCTCATAAAAGCAGTAGTCATATTGCTCCACATGACCTTGGCCCACAGTCAAATCAGCAAAAAGACAAAGCTGTGAAAAAATCAGAATCAGAGCAATGCCTCAAACTCTCAGCCAACTTCTTTGACTTTAGCAGCTCTTGCATGCGATGGGTGGGCTTCATATACAACCACACACATTTGAAAGCAAAGGAACACACATGTACATGTACATCAAGAGGAAATATAATACCTACAATTTAAATATGGTTCTGTCCAATTCCCAAAACCAAGATGCACTTCTTTTTTCTTTTATCTAGTACACATGACATGTTTCCCTCTTAGAGCATGAACATGGTTGTGTTCTGGATCATGTGCATTGTTTTCAAATGCAAATGAGCATGCATTAATACCTGAGGACACACAGCACACAAACACATAAGATATAAAATTGACTCCAGAGTACTTTAAAATTCAATGAAAATTTCCAAGTGATTCCAGGTAGCTTCTGGATGTCTTTACAGCTCTAGGACTTGACATGCTCCATAATCCACAATCCAGAAGACCACAAGCAAAAAATTTACCAGCAAAGAAAAACTCTTGCTCTCCAATACAAACCAACATGCTTCATAAATAAAGAATTAATGTGATCCATATCATGAAAAAGCAAACATACAACATGCAAGGGGCATAAGTAATAGAATTCCCCTAAAAAAAAAAAAACCCAGCTGTCACTCCAAAATTTATTAGGAGGGCTAAATCAAAGAGAAATCCCAATCCTCTTGGCTAATTCATAAATTATAGAAGTACCAACAAAAAAAAAGGAACAAGGACGCCCAAGTAACAAACTACCAGTTAACTTGGACACTCACCATGAGACTTTGTCCACCTGAAGTTGCTGTAAGCTTAGTAAGAGAATGTATCTTGATGGTGAAGAATGCAGATACATCCCAAGAAAGGATGGGAGGTGGCCTCTTGCGCCTCAATGTTCCTGACGATGATGAAGACAAGCGTGATGGCAACTCTTCCATGTCTGGCACTCTGCAATAAATCCCTGGTGGAGCCACTAATAAAAGAGAAATGCCATTTAGAGTACCATTCTGTACTTCTGTTGGATACACAAATATTTAGGAGCTGTAGTTATGGCAAATGTTTTCATGAAGATGGTAAATAAAAATGCATACTGCATCTACCATATAATATGTATATACAATGTAACTAAAATGCAGGAATATAGCTAGAATTATGAATGGAATCGATAATACAATTGGGGCCGCAGATCTCAATCAAAAGTTGGTTGCCATAATACTATGTGGCATTCAACTTCAAAAGTCAAACCATAGACACCAGTCATAAAGCAATGGGGAAATGAGAATATAGTAAGCGATCTCTTCACATGAATCCATCACAGATGCATTCCATATGTAAAACTAAACAAAGGGAGGCCTTGAGACTACAGCCTGTGAGATTATGATGTGTGGGCATGATTAGTTTAAGCTCATCTGACTGATTTGGAATGTTTCCCAGCTTTCACTTTCCTCTGTCACTATCTGTCCCCTGTTATAGGCTTTCTTCCCACAACATGAGGGGTGACTGCATTCCTAGAATGGTGGAGACAGATGAAAGTGAAAAATAAACAAGAACATATAAGTGGGGAGGGAGGAAGTGGACTCCCATGCAGACTGGGGTCATGGTTCAAACTGCACCTACATTGCAAACCATGCTACCTATACAATGGTGCAAATTACCAAGTACCAGCTGCCATATGCATTCACCAAATGGAAAATAATTTCCAAAGTTGGCAACTTGTCTAGTCACTGAGTCAATAGCTAATTCTTTCACAAGTTTGAAATGTCCCTTAATAGCTTATGATATAGAAAAGCCCATGGAAGCATGAACACAAGGTATTTAAAATGTGGTACTATGATGATTTCAAAAGATTTATCATGTATGATAATCATTCTGACCTTATATGAGACTCATGATGTAGTTTGTGAAGCAGATACAAAGTGACCAATGGATATGATGGAAATTAACTAAGAGAAGCCAACATTTACCAATGCAAAGGGGTTATGTAGGATTTGAGACATCAACCTAACTTTTACAGCTAATTGGCAACTAGCCACAAAGCAAAATTCCCATTTCAACAATTTAGCACAACACCATGTTCTATCTGAAAAAAACATGACTTAAATGTGATTCTACTAATCTTTGAGGTTGGCTATTTCTGCTGCAAGAGAATGCAAAAAAGGATCATTGACACACTCTATGACACCAACCATGGCTCCACTCATTTCAGGGTTTAAATTTAAAATTATAACTATATCTGGGCAATGATGGATATTCATAGGAAGACAGATTACACTTGTGGAAAAATGGAGCAAACAAAGCTCTCAAATGACACATAATATATGCAGATGTGACAACTTTACCATTGATGGAATCAATATGGCGTGCAACCAAGATGGGGGTCTCATGAGCAAGAAGAGACTCTTGGATGTGGACATAGTGGATGAGGGGAACCTCTTCAAGGAGGTATTCTTCCAGGCCATAGAACTTGAGCACAAGATCTTCTGGTTTCAAAGGCACTGGGTGGGTTGAGGAATTCGCCACTGGTTTCTTGCTCAAGACCAAGCAAATGAGATCGGTTGGAGTAGATCCCAGCTTCACACTCATTGTAAAAGCCATCTGCACCCAGCCACAACACAAAATTGCCCTTAATGGTACAAAAATGCTGAAGAATATATAAAAATGGAAAATTGTTGCATGCTGCTTCCTGCCCAATTCCCTTGGAGATTATGCAAAAAATCTTATACTCAATATGACAGGGGTGTCAACTCAAATTGGTCAGTGGGGCATATTTCTAACCCTGAAGATACCTCCATGGGCTGTATATTTGACACCCCTGGAATAAGGAATAGAGACTTTTTGGGAATTAATGACCTGTAGCTCACCTTGCCTCCCTGAAACTGCACAAGTACAACAAAGCTGTCTTGCTGCACAACAGAACGAAGGAGGTTGAAAGAGGGTGGCAAAAGACGTATGGGGTGCTGGGACAGGACCCTCTCTTTCCACGAGAGATTCTCACGATGAACAGCAAGCTCATTGGCCAATTGCTTCCCTTGCCATCGGAAATCATTCACCTCTGAATTCTTCAAGGAATGAAATTGATGCAGTTCTGGATAGAGAATAGAAATGCCTTTAGCAATGCCTGCTGGCTCCTACCAACTCCTATTTCCAAAAAAATTATTGCAGGGAGGAGCAGTAAGCATTCCTACCTCTGCCAATGAGGAGACCAATTTCTGCATCAAGAACCTTATCACTGCATGTCTCTTTTCGTGGAACAACCCGGAGTAAATTCACAAATGGACGAACATCAGATAATGCATAGGACTCATCAGTCAAGTCTTGCTTCCGACCAGATTGATTTATACACTGAAAGACATAAGCACCCCTGTCCTGCAGGGCACCGAAGAGTGGATAATGACTTGCCTCCTCCCAGAGATCCTTCGAAAAAATAAAAAATGAAGAGAATGAAGCCAAGCAGCAGAGAAGCATATGATTCCATCCCAAACCATCTTACCGTTTTGAGCTCCACCAATGTAATGTGAGGCTCAGTTTGTATGGGAATGAGGAGCCCATTGGGCATAAGGCAGTCAATGGATACAATAGCACCAGTTGCAAGGCCATCATTCCAAGTACCATGTGTCAGGTCCCAAGCAGGTCCTGACAACAGGCCTTGTGCCGAAACATACCCACAGTTGTCCGGCATGAGACACTTTTCTTGTTCATGGGCATAACATCACAGTCACCTCCATATTTTGTCAACACTTGCCAGTCCAGCCAGCATTATGGGTTGGCATCTGCAACAATACCACTGCACTCTTCTATTTAATTTCAAAATCATCCCTGAATGTCCTCATGGGAAGTCACTACATGTCATTTTTCATGGGATGGTTAGATAATAAAAAAGACAGGCTATTGCTTTTAATCAAATGAACAGCTGCTTTAGTTCGCTTGAAATTTCAATGCCATTGACCTAATGTCCGCTCAAGCTATGAGGGCTCACATCCTCAGAGTCAAATCTACCCCTAGTTTTCCAAATTCAACATATTTCCTGATCAAATAATAAATTCATTTAAATGTTGATGTCTTGAGGAGAAAAAGTTGATAATCATTTCCATAACTTCAGGGGAAGGCTACTGTCTTTGCAACTTAATGTTGAGACATCTGGGCTGTCTCCAGACTAAAACCTTCAATCCTGTAAATTTCAAAACTAGAAATTTAATTTTTTAAATTCAGATTTGGGCTAAATTCATATCTTCTATCAGCCCTGTGGTAACAAATGTTGCCAAGCACTCAAGAATTTTTCTGAAGTTTAAAAAAAAAAAATTATTCATTTGGAGATAGAAAAGTGCTGCATTACTTAAGGGGTCTTTCAAATACTACAGTCATACATGCCTACACACACATGATAATGACAAAAAATATTGATTCTAGTCTCTATTCAGAATATACTTTCTCATTTTTTTCTGTTCTCAATATATTAACTTTTCCCTGAATTTTCAGCTGTTATAAATTGCATTTTCACAGGTTTACAGTACATCAGGTTAAAATGGCTTGTCTTGGGTTTTGGTGACATTTCTCATAAAATTTTAGCCAACATTTGACACTAGAAGCACTCATGGCAACCATCCAAGAGAAAAAGTTCCTCATGGAAGGCATAGTCAAGAGATGAAAGCACAAAACTGTACAGAGTTCCTGAAAACAGGGCCAAATTAAACATGGAAAAAAATAATTTAAACTTATTTTAACAAAAAAATTTTTTAATATAGAAGCATGTATTTTTTCATTTTTTTTTAACCTTTTTTTAACGTGTTCAAAGTGGTATCATACTTCTACATATTTTTAAATATCCTCAACTTCTAAAATTTTCACGTTTTTATATTTTGAAATAACTTTTAAAAACATTTATTGGGTTCTTTCTTCAAATGAAAATACAGTACCCAAATAGATATTCATATTATGCTATGCCAATTTTTGACTTCTCAGTTCATTGAAACCAAAATCAAACAAATATTCAATCAAAATCCTTATTTACAGACAAGCTGCAGGATCCTATATGGCATTAAGTACTAGTTACCTATGATTTAAGTTGTTATTTCATAATTCTTAGGCATATCATTGACTATCATGACAATACAATGAAGCTTAGGTAACTCTGGATGGATGGAATACTCTTTAGAACTTCAAAAGAGTCATGAGCCACATGAATCAGATGGACAAGTGGAAAACTTGAAATGGCATTTCAATATCTAGCTCAGCAATCCATACTGTCTTCCTACTATTAACCCTGTTCTTTTAGTTCTAATATCTCTATGTATGGATGGATGAGCAAGAGAATGCATAAGTTGAGCCTACAGATACCAGCTGTTGGGTAAAAAAATGAATGAACTACTTAGTTATAATATAACTAAGAAGCAACCTGCACTATTATGTTCTTGCAAAAATGGAAGGGAAATATTTGCTCCCAAGACATGCAGTTTTTATGTAGAAGCATGACAAGGAATTATGACATACCTTGGCTCACAAACAAGAAAGAACAAGCTTGATGTGAGATTTCTACTTTTGCCTCCACATGGAAAAATACGTAAAAGGCACCAATTACTCCATGTAAACATAAGGATAAGGTACATCAAATTTCAGCTGATACTGCCACTTGATATGGCTATAACTATTCCATCCAGAGTAATTGCACATCCAGGTTCGCCTTTTGCACTGAAATACCAGAAGGGAAACTGCAGTGAAAGAAAAACTCATCACTGCCTTTAATGAAGGGTGAATATGAAGAAAAACAATGACATTTATATTATCAGAATGATTTGGCTGAATTGATAAGATTGATAGTACTGGTCAAGTCATTATTAGCCATTTGGCACATCCTCTTTAAAAAAAAATTACACTTCCTAAACAAGATAATGATACTGCACTCTCCACCCCAACAATCAAAAGCAACCAAAGACAACCAATAGGGGATTTGATACACCAATTAATGAAAGCAAGTATTCATTAACATGCGATTTACTATACGCTCACCACAATAGTCCCATCTTGAATGTAATTCCCTGCAAAATAGGCTTAAAAAGAAAATCAACTGATTTGTGGAAGGAATGAGACTTGCTTTTGGAAGCAGAATATATCTCCCACATATACAAAGTATATGTAAGCAAATGTTCATGACAGCAATCTTGAATGCAGCATGAAAGAAAGCATGCCAGCCATCCAACATCATAGGAGGTCAAGAGCTTCATATTCCATATTGGAACATTTTGCCTAAAATCTCTGTGGAAATTCCTGCCAAAGGAAGGCTTAATAAATAAAATGATCATGATAAACTTTCATATTGTGGCTAACTACAGCAGTAATGTGCCTATATCATAAAGTATTTGGTTAGTTCTTGCCGTTTTTGACAAGTTTTATAGAGAAACTCAGGTATCTCCCATAAGATAAAGTTTTAATTTGAAAGTATTTGGTCTTTCTTGGAAACATTGAGTATACAAACATGATACAGTCACAAGACACAGTGGCCCTTGATGCCTGGAACCACTGTGGACAGGTCCACAATGCAGAGGAGTATGAGTCACAATGGCTATTTCACCCACCACTATTCTGAGGAGGAGAAAGGATGGCGATCTCGATCACACGAAGACCTCGCTCCATGGGGTTGCACAGAAGGAGGCCATGCTCGTACCATTGTTTGTTGAGCCTATGAATTGTTCGACTCAACTTACGCAGGTTCTTCTCATAAGTGGTTTCCATGCAGAGGAGAAGCAAAAATCCAGTGAGACATGCAAAGCATCCTTCCCAGTATGAAGAGCAGGTCAGGGTCTCAGCTTCAGCAAACACTGCATTGATCTCATTGATAGAAGACATGAATAACTCTTGACTTATCTTCCCTTCCAATTCCTGAGGAAACTTGGTCTGGAAATGAACTGCTGTCCCATTTGAATAGTCTCTTTGAACAAACACTTTCTGACACCCAATGGTATTAGGTACATGCTGGTTGGCCATTGGAATGCTTTCAGTTCTTCTCACCTGCGAAGCCTCAATTGAGGCAACAACAGTTCAGAATACTATCAAAAAGCCATTGGCTTCAAAACACTTCCTTTTAAACCTGGAAGTAAGCAACACAAAATATAACTTGAGTTCATAATTGGATGCAGGTATGAAATCCACTATTCTACAGGAATCCATCATGAAATGAAACTAATCAACTTTTAAAAGTTAAGTCAATGCACAACACCTATGCATATTAACCCCTTGACCACAGGATTGACTGAGCCAGCCCAACACCCTAATGGTATTATTCCAGCCTCAACCAGGCGCTAAGTCCCACGACATAAGTATACATAATCCGTAGGAAGATGTAGAGAAACAGGTATGAAGAACAAAAAACAGGTAGAGCTATGATGAAAATCATAGCTCTACAACTTTGAAAGTCAAGATAATAAATCACGTATATATACGTCATCCGTAGGAAAGGAGTTAACAGTATTTCCTTTTCCAGTTGAGTCTTGCATATTTTACTTATTACTAGGAATCTATTGGATCAGACATAAATGCACTATTTACTGTCTTCTTTAGGTGGAGATATTCTTGCAAGATATTGTGTCAATTAGGTCTATATATTAAAGTTCTCAAGGTAACAATAAATTATAACTTCTCACACAAATCCATCACAATTTGGATAATGAATCAAACAAAAACTCCAGTATTAGTCAAAGCCACCACACAACTATTCCTCAAATAAGTGAAGACAGATACCAAGTGTGCTACTTTCATCTAATCAGATTTGTTTCAAATGGACATAATCATGGACCTTTTGGATGCTTTTCTCAATTGTCCTGTGCATGGAAAGTGACATAATGCCATCAAAAGCAATGCTGGTTCAAAGAGCCTATATCAACAGGGCTCATGTAACAAGATTGTAATGTTGTAATGTTTTTGAATAACCAACACTTGCCTCATGCCAGCATGAAAGCACTCAGAGTAGGCCCAGGTCTGTTCCATTCCTCAATATCCCTAGTCCCTCAACTTGACTATCTATTCCACTTCTTCTGCTCTTCCCATGAGGCTCCAGCTTAAGTCCTCGTCAACTCTTTTGGGTAAATAAATAACCAAACACTATCCGATCTAGCTCGGTTATTGGTCGAGGCAGTGAAGAACGTCACTGATAATCCTGGACCATATGAATCACACCTTCGGTACTTAGTCAGAAGAGTAAGGAAACTTATCTACTTTGGGTAAGGATGACCCAGTTGGGTTCGAAACGGCAAGCCCTAACGTTGGATCCAAGCTAAAACACACAAATAAACAAGTTTGAGTGGTCATAATGTGAGTCATGGGCTTGGCCCTAGCTAGGCTATCAGCGCATGAGCATTCTGAATAGCCGAAATCATACTAACGTTGCAAATGTATGGGACTCCTTGATACGCCCTACCCTATTAGCATAGACTCTGGTACTTAAGAACTAGGCTAAAAGCCTGGGCCAACGAACACTCCCAACTGTTGTGATGATGCTAAGGAAAGCCATGAAGCCGAGGGCCATGGGAGGAGACATGTTGGACGAGTCCTGTTGCGACTGTCTGCGACTCGCGCAGACCAAGGATGTACGTAGAAGACGCAGATATTGAGTGATCGACGATTTTGAGGGTGGATTCAGCTCCAGGTGAATCACCTGCTGATTTATTCATGCCATAAATGATGAGTAACAAAAAAAGATGAGTGCGCTTGACCCGGATCATGCCTAGCATTAAACGAAAATCGACGAATTGCGTCGATCCTCATTAAAGGCGGAACTGAAAAATTAAGCAACAATTGCCGATATTTGCCTCACCTTCCAAGCCTGCATAAGCGGCACAGGTGCCTCCGAACTGCACCTGTGCGCAGTGGTGTACGCAGACTTTAGGAAGAGGTGTTGCTAGGCCCCAAGAAGCAGCTCGACCACCGTGCACCTTCCTGCCATTTCACATCCCACTACCACCAAGCACTGAACCTGGACCAAACACCTCCAGCTCGAGAATCCCTCGACCACTCGGACGAGGAACACCCCCTCCCCGCACCCGTCCGTCGAGGCAGAGGGGAACGACAGCCCCACCAAAGCGCTGTGACTGACTGCAGAGGCCTTTGCGTGCAAACGAGTAAGAATCGCGTGGGATCGCGCTCTCGAAAGCAAGGGAATGAGACTCGACAGGAATCGCCTGCGAAAACAACCACCCGCACCACGCTTCCCTCATTTTTAAGCTGTGGATAAGGCACCTCTACCTCTAGGCATCCGAAGGCACCCAGGTAACCCATAAAGCGATTCTTACTCTGGCAGCACCTTCTCTCTTCGTTCGACGATGACGGTCTGAGTTCAAATTGAATGACACCAGTAAGGTAAACAAGGCGAATTCGTTCAAGGATTCCGTTCAAAACCGAGACGAAATCATAAATGGTGAACGACATCCGAAACAGAAATTCCACTGACATCA